TGACGCATTTCAAATAAATAATTATTGCATGCAATGGCTTGAATAATAATTTATTCTAAAGATTTTACTTTCGGTATTGTTGATAATAAATCTTTGACGCTATCCTTCAATCCATATCAAAATTAGTTGATAAGTGTTTTGTTGTTCCAGTCTACGTCGCAAGCAAGGTTTTGGAATTTGGTAGCATATATAGTGGCTGATTGTGATCCTTATCACAAGGATAAAAGCTTGATCTTTGCTACTCGTTCTCGATCATTTTCTTCAAATGTGACCGTAAACACTTCTAGGAGTGAATTCAAATCATAAAGGAGTCATGAATTTTTTTCCATTTAAGGTGTAAACCAAGAGAGAGGACTTCTTGATAGTAGCGCCCTTATGAATCCGACTTGGATAAATCCATGAAGATATTGGAAAGAGTGCAATCTTAGATAGAGCTTGATTTATTACAAAAATCCTCAAAATTTTGATCTTGTTCCATCAAACTTCTCAGGCATACTAATCTTTCTCCTTGTCATATTTGTAGAAGCAAAACTCCCTGGATTTGGTTGTGACGTTGATCTATTTGCTTCTTTCAACTACACAACTTATTGTCGCAGACTCTGAACTTCTTCTATAGGCGTAGGCATAGTACTTCCATGATTCACGTTGGAAATACGTGAGATTTACACTCTTAGAGTGTTGACAAGCTCATGAAGTTCTGCCATAGTTGCAAATCTATTCTCACTTCCATTGAGAGTAGCATCCATAATCGTTCCATAGACAACTCAAACAAATTCAAAAGTTAAATTAGAGGAGGGTAATCCACAACCTCTAAAAACAAATCCTACAAAGAGGGGTAATCCACTCTTTTTAAGGAAAACATCAATGTTAAAAAATCAGATTTTTTTATTTAAAGGTGGATAGTCTGCAACCTTCAAAATATAATAATAGAAGTGGGGTAATCCACTCACTCCTAAAACAAGACAAAAACAGTATACTAGCATTCTTGTCAAACTGTGAAGGACATGAATCTCAAAGAAAGAGAATCCTCAATACATTCTTCTATTACTAAAGAGAATTAGAAATTCACTCAAAAGATGATGTAATATTAACTAGAATGGCTATTGCCAAAAACAAGAAGACTAAAAAGACTTGAAACAAGACTAAGACTAGAAAGGCGTTGATAAGAGTGAAGAAGGCTTCACTCTTGCCTCCATATATACTATCTAACTAAGAGCTATGTGGCGATGTCCTATAGGATATTCAACATGTGTTGACTTTGCTAGCCACATGTCTTATCTTGCAAGGCAAGTTATCTATATATGTGCCACGTAGTTGGCTTGTTCCACAAGCTACTACATGGAAACAACTTGTTTGATAAGCTACCAATACATGGTTAACTTTTTGGCCAAGTTTCTAACCTACAAACACATCTAAAGTCAAAACCACATCTATGAAGTTTTTAGGAAGCTTCTCTAGAAGACTTTATGAAATTATTTTATATTTACCTACTTCTATTTAATCATATAAGTAACTATTGAGGTAAATATATATATTCATGATAGGTAGAGAGAGACAAAGCTTGATGAATTTGAGGTGTTGAAATGTCGAGCTCTATGATCTCTATTGTGGTTGAATTTCTTTATTTTCTTGAAAAATTGTACTCCTATTCCTAGTTGTATGTTGTTTGTTTGGATAATATCTAAATTTGTGACCTTCTTCACTACAGTATAAATAAAGGCCTTGTTAAAATTGACACTCCTTCTTTCTTGTAAGAAGTTTGAATTATACTACATCAATTTGCACATCCTCAACTTTGAAGTGTGGAAGTAATATATTTGTTGAAGCAGTAGAATGCAAATTTTTAGTTCATTGCTTTGTCAAAGTTCATGAGTATTGATCTTAATGACATTGAAATAATTGATTATTATACTTCACAGCTTAGCTAGTAGCTTCATTAATAGTTTGAGGTTCAAATAATGATAGTAATAGGTCTTTTATATCATCCTTTAGTCTCCAATAGAATTGATTCTTAACAATTTATTCATGCCAATTAATGTTACATGCCAATTACATGAAATCAAATACATAAACTAATGTAGAATGTGATCCTTGATGCAATGAAAAAATATTTGTTGTTGTCCATTAAGCCTTGTCACGTTCTCCAAATGCCTTTGCAAATGCTTCTAAAAAAGCTTCAAAGTTGATGAAGATTGGAGATCTCTTCTTAAATAACGGAACAAATTAAGATAAGGCTTGTCCTATGAAAAAGGTTCTAACTAAACCAACTCGCGACTCCTATGTTGGATAGCTTTCAAGTTGTAGAAGAATTACCAATCAAATTTGGTTAATAAATCCTTGAAAATTTCAGCGTGTGCCATCAAAACATTTTTAAAAGACTAATCTAAGGCCTTACATTATTAAATAGGTAAATTTTCTTTTTGAAGTATAGATGCTATTACCACCTTGGATATAAAAGCTTGAGAAAGTGATCTCATCATAGGTTGACTTGCTCCAAGTCTTGTATCACCATGAAATCTTACAAAAAATCTCTTAATTTCAATACTTCTATGACCTAAAGAATTTAGTGTGTTCATAATAACATCTAATTTGGACTCAATAGATTCAACCATACTAATATCTTCATCTCTAGCTATTTTAAAGATAAAATAAAAAAATTCCTAAAATAATATCAGTTTACTTGAAGATAATCTGTAATTCTTAAAAGTGCTTAGATGCCTTCAAGAAGAAGGATAATCCACTCTCTATTAAGAAAGATCAAGCTCTAATATTAATAAGAGGGTAGTTTCAACAAACTATCACATATACAATATATAGGAGATCAAATAAGAAATTGAACAAAGGAATTTCAAGAAGAAAGCTAACAAGAACTTAATTAAACCAGATAAGTATAAGAACAATAGCAAGAGGGATGAATTAGAGCTTCAAGAGATGTATTGTCAAGATTAAAGATCTCCCACTCTTGATTCCAATATATATTAAGTATTAGGAATCTTCTTAAGAAGTTTCCATATTGCTTGAAGATGAAGCAATCTTATGAAGCTTCTTATACAACTTCTTTTATTATCCTAGAACTTTTTGAAACCTACAAAAATATTTAAAGAATGATTTAAGAATCTTTTAAAATTTTCTAGAATTTAATAAAATATTCCTACAATCTTCTTATTAGATATTTGTAACAAGTAATGCATATCATAATGAATAAAATGTATCATATTTATAGATATATATTTTAGTATTTAATAATAATAATTATAATATGTAATATAAATTTAGTACAACTTGTGACATTTGCAAAAAATGGGATGGCATGTAGTAGATGGCAAGTTTTGTAGCAAAAACAAAGATTGTGGTAGTATTAGCAACATTCCAAAAAAATACTTTTAACACATTAAATAAAATAAAAATCAAATTCACTAGTTTCATGCTTCGTATAGGATTTTGTAATTTTATTTTGTGAAAATGATCTTTAATTTTTAATTGTTTAATTTTTTCATACAAAACAACATTTACATTGTTTTAATCATTAAAAAATTCAAATTAAGCTCAAGCTATAAAAATAAATCATATTGATTGTAAGATATTTCATTTAAAAATTATTAATTTTAATGATTATTTTATTTTATTTTATTTTATTGTTAGGTTTATCACTAATAACATTGATGGAAGTATCAAAGGACACATAAAGTATCAATGTTTTTGTGATAAAATAAAGAAACATAAAATTAAGAAAACAAAATAAAATAAAGAAACATAAAATTAAGAATTTTATTTTAATTTTTTATTATAAAAATTCAAAAACTTGTACTTGATAATAAATAAATAAAATTTACAACCTTCATTTAAATGAAATAAAATAAGAAATCTCAAATGAAGAAAATCAAATCAAATTTTAATTTCTTGATTATTTATTCGAAAATTGAAGAGAAAATTGTGTAATTTTTTTGTTGCAAAGAACATTATTTATGGATAGGGTGAAGAGATTCAAATAAAAGAACGAATTATCTCATGCTAAAAGGTTATTCAATGTATCACTATCAGTAGTAATCATATATAAATATTTAGACTTCTTTTTCTAGAAACATCTTCTTATATGTAAATTCTGAGAAATCCAAAAACTTCTATAAGCATTAATGTAACATAGTGAGATGGTGAATTGGATGTTTAAATTCTTAAACTTTTGTACAAAAATCCATAAAATATTTGGAATTACACTCACCAAATTCAGTAAATCCTAGGTTTGGTGTAAATTTGTATGATTTTATATAAAAAATCAAACTGGAGCAATGATAATAATAATTTAGAATTATATTTGTATATATTTAATAACAAAATAGAATTACTTTAAAAAAATTCCAAAAAAAACTATTCCTTTATTTTATGCATTTGAAATTAAGAAATATTTATTTGATTATGTTTGTGTGTTTATATGTTCTGAAAAATGAATTATTGTCATATAAAATTCATGTTCTCTTCATGCCTATTGGTTTTTAACATATTTCAATGTTAAGACCTTAGATGATTATCACCATTTTAAATTTGAAGTTCAAATTTCACAATCCAATCAAATTATGTATTCAAAAGTATTGTAAATAATAGATACTATGATAGAAATAATGAATGTATACATATCTAAGTATTAGTAAACACAAAAATTAACAAAATATATGCATATCCAAACATTTAACCATGTAATTTGAAAATTTAACACACAAAGACTTCAAATCACCTCATTTCTCATCAATTTTTTTTTGAAATGAATATAGTAAATTGATTCTGGAATTAATACATGCACTTATATTGATGAACGCAACACTCTTAAACCCTCTACGAACAGTTGAGACTGGTATTAAAGTACGTAGAATACGAATTCACGAAATATAAATACATCCATAAAATAACAGACAATTGTAAAGTGAAGAAGAAGGAATCGCAACGAGGGTTCGAATCGGGTCGCGGACACCGAAGATTCTAAATTAGGGTTTGGAGCTCATTTTCCCTCTCTCCCCTTCGTGGCCAGGAAACCCTAGAATGGTTTTAAGAGGTGGAGGACAGATTTGAAGCTATTGTGTCGAGCAACCGTGCGCGGTGAGGGATTTTGTTACTTACCGGATGGAGGTGGAGAACGTTGCTGTGCGGTAGAGGAAACGAAGTGGTAGGATTAGTGGCGAGGTGCGGTTTTGAGGGAGGTAAAGAGTGGAGGGGCTTTGTTTCGAGGTGCTGCGATGGGAGACACCGCGGTGCACCAGTTTAATAGCATTTTGCTCGGAGGACGGGGAGGGACAAATCCAGGGCAGCTGAAGATCAATAGCGGGGGTTTCCAATGGCGGAAGGCAGGGGGTGGGAAGGTGGTGGAGGTTTCTACCAGTGACATCGCCAGCTTGAGCTGGACACGGGTACCCAAGGGTTTCCAGTTAGGGGTGAAGTTGAAGGCAGGACGAGACGTGAAGTTCAATGGGTTTCGCGAGTCGGACATGGCGAATCTGGGATCGTTTTTCACTACGAATATGGGGATTACGTCTGAGGAAAAGCCGCTGGCGATCAGCGGTAGGAATTGGGGAGATGTGACTTTGGAAGGGAGCTCCCTGGCTTTTAGTGTCGGTGGGAAGCATGCGTTTGATGTTTCCATCGCGGATGTTTCGCAAACTCAAATGCAGGGAAAGAATGAGGTGATGCTTGAATTTCATGTCGATGACACGACGGGTGCGAGCGAGAAGGATACTTTGATGGAATTGAGTTTCCACATACCTACTACGAATACTACTTACATCGGAGACGAAGAGCGTCCACCTGCGCAGATTTTCCGGGAGAAGATATTATCCATGGGAGATGTTGGGCCCTCTGGTGCAGAAGCGATTGCATTGTTCGAGGAAGTTCATATTCTTACGCCTAGGGGACGATACAATGTGGAGCTCCATGCCTCCTTTTTGCGGTTGCAAGGGCAAGCTAATGACTTCAAAATCCAGTACAGTAGTGTTGTTCGTCTTTTTATTCTGCCGAAGAGCAACCAGCCGCACACCTTTGTGGTGATCACCTTAGACCCCCCCATTCGTAAGGGACAGACGTTCTATCCGCACATTGTATTACAGTTTCCATCAGAAGAGATAGCAGAGTGTACGCTGTCTATCGGCGAAGAGCTTTTAAATACTAAGTACAAGGATCGGCTCCAACCTGCATATAAGGATCTGTCGCATGATGTTTTCACGCAGATATTGAAAGGTCTCTCGGGTGCTAAAGTTACACGTCCAGGAAAGTTTCGGAGCGCTCAGGATGGCTACTGTGTACGTACTTCACTCAAGGCGGAGGAAGGCACGTTGTATCCGTTGGAGAAGAGTTTCTTTTTCTTGCCTAAGCCACCGACTCTTATTCTTCACGACGAGATCGAATATTTGGAGTTTGAGAGACATGGTGCAGCGGGCACCAGCAGCATATCATCGCACTACTTTGATCTGCTTATCCGCCTTAAGAGCGAGCAAGAGCATCAGTTTCGAAACATCCAGCGTAATGAGTATCACAATTTGTTCAATTTCATCAGCGGCAAAAATTTGAAGATCATGAACTTAGGAGACGCTCAAGGTACAAGTGGCGTTGCTGCTGCGCTTGAAGGCTCTGATGATGAAGGAGTTGATCCTCATTTGAATCGTATTCGAAGTGCTCGGGAAAGTGGCGGCGCTGGGCTTGGCGACGAAGACAGTGATGAAGAGGACGAAGATTTCGTTGCTGAGAAGGATGATGCTGGGTCTCCTACTGATGAATCTGATGGAGAGGAGCCTGATGGTAGCGACGATGGTGGAGGTGGTTCCGACGAAGAGGAAGAGGACGAGGAAGAAGAAAGGCCGAAAAAGAAGAGAGAGAAGAGAGAGGACGTGGCTCCGAAATCTGCTCCTAAGAAACGAAAGAAGAAAGACGAAGCCGATGGAGAAGATGGTGGGAAGAAGAAAAGGAAGAAGAAGGAGAAGGATCCCAATGCGCCTAAACGTGCACTTTCTGCCTTCATGCGCTTTCAGTTAGAAGAACGCAAGAAGATGAAGGCTGACCCAGGTCAAGCATCCATGTCTTTTGGGGAGTTTGGCAAATCTCTGGGCGAGAAATGGAGAAACATGTCGGCCTCTGACAAAGCACCTTATGAAGCTGATGCGAAGGTTGATCAGGAGCGATACAAGAAGGCTATGGCAGGATACAAAAGTGGTCAATCTGGTCCATCAGAAGCCTATGACGATGGAGAGGACGAAGGATCTGACGATGAGTAGGCGATTCATGTTGTGTCTTCGATTGCTCGGTCCTTCTAGAGGTAATGGAGAACATCTTGGTGCGATCAATTTTGGTTGAATGCTGCACTTGCATAGGTACTTAATTGCTGCGGTTTGAACCTAATGTAGTTTTCTAAGGAGTGGATTGGCTGTTTTTTGCTGTTTGACCGCAGAACTATACAAGGAATAGGAATCAGATTCTTGAACACTGACTGAAGAAGTTGCTGGCAATTTTCTTTCCGTTGAGTGATTGACTATGCTGCCACTTGCCCCAGCTCACATTCAACTGGCAATTGATACTGGGTAGCCTCTATATTGATTGACCACTGTTGCTAAGGGAGAATGTCCTGTAGAAAAGCATCAGCGTGTCGGGTATGAACGAAGTAGGGGTTGTCCTCAGCATACAATGTGCGCATTGTGGCGAATATTGTGACGCTTTAAGTCATGAGTTGTGGGGATGAGTGCATTAAGTGGTTTTGAATATGTTGGTAATAGTAGACTTCGCCACACCTGCCAGATTTGCTAAATGTAAATCCAGCTGCTTCCTGTGTAGGAAGCTGCCGGAGTTTGAACTCTGGAGAGTGTCGTATGCTTTGTATAATTGTATGAATGAATCTTATATCCTGGCTAGAGATTTATTTCTTTGTATTGTTTGATTATGTGGCATTCGTTGAATGTTCTTTCGTATCATCAGAATATCAACGAAGAGCGTGCTATCCTCTACTTACATGTGAGGTAGTCACCGTTTCCCCTCAATGTACAGCCTTCCCGAATTTGGTTCAGATGATAATGTGAACAATGAAGTGCAGATGAGTTGAAATTTCGGGGTGTCGTTTTATCGTTGATTGATTACTATCTAAATCTCACAAGCCGTGATTGTCATCAACAGATTGAGTTGGAATCAAGTAATACTTGAAGTACAACGAACAATCAAAATCAAGGGTTAACCCAGAAGTGCCCATCTGACTGATGGGTGTCCGGTATAGATTAAACTTCATACGATGATACAGTTTCACCACGTTGGTTGGGTTATTTTTCTCGTGAGGTACTGATTCATACGTACACTTTATTCTCGCCATAATTTTGGTTTTAACAACCCTAATCCCTAAACCACAAACAAACTGACTTTTTTTTGCAGCTACTATTGCTATGTGGAGTGTTATGTACTCTGTCCAACAGTGTATTAACTCTAGGTTTGTAATGTAGGTTAATGTAGGACAAGGAATAAGATAGATTTCGTTTACAGAGAAGAATGCTTCTTCGAGAAAAATGATGAGTATTTTACACAAATCGATAGTCATTTTTCAGTATTTTAACTTTTATTAGTCTTCTGTGTATGTTTCGTACTTTAACTAATAATTTATTTTACACTTGTGACACACAAGCTTATCTTTTAAAAAACTGCAATACATTCTAAAAGACGTCAATTTTATTATTACAGACTATAAAAGTATGTGATTCATTCATTCTAATTGCAACAAATCTTGATGGTTTGTTTTTGTAATACTTTACACGTTAAAAATTATAAATTATAATTATAATAGCATATCAGGCGAATTAAGTAATATTCGCATTTGTGAGGCATAGCGTACACAGATTCAATTCTGTGATTCAGTGCTGTGGTATTGACTGGTGTACTTTTTTATTTGGGGAACTAAAGTTATTTATTTAATTTTCATGACACAACAGAGCACGGACATGACTATATTCTAAGATGAAGTGCAAAAATTGCGAGGGACTCACATTCGTGCTCTGATTAGGTTTTCTTTTTCACATGATTTTTAGTGTAATGTCTTTCCCCATAGTTGTGAACAGAAAACTAATTAAAGAAACTTCAGGAATGAGAAATTTAAATATCACCCTGATGAACCGATAGTGTATGATAGGTTAAAATGCCCAAGTTCTTAATTGCATTCCATATAAGATGTATCTTAGGCGTAGAGAATAGATTCTTGGGATTGACTAACTCAACTCTAAAGTCTGATATCATGTACAGTGCGCCATGTTTGGGGCAAGTTTTTCACATAAATCTGCACAATTTGAAGCCTTCCCTTCACTTTTAATGCCGTAAGCTCTCTTTTCTAATCAGTTCATGCTCTCTTTTACACATGAACTGATTAGAAACTCCTTGGACAGTCTCATGAACAAGAAAAAAAAGATGCGGCTGAAGTGAGCAAGTTGCAGTGCTGTAGTTCAGTTCAGAGTGGGGAAAAAGTACGTAAAAAATGTCCATGCGTTCTCGTTTTCTTGATTCTGTATGAACAAGCCACTATCAGTCTCGGTTACATCCATAGACAAATTCAGAAGGTGAGAGAAAAGTGAATACTAGAAATGAACACACCTATACTGCAGATTCTAGCGCTAAACTACTGAAAGCGAATTACATGCTTTTCACCCATGTAAAACTGCCTCCATCAATTGAGGTATAACCTGCAGCACTCGGAGCATCCAATGTGATGCCACAAGCATATATGTGGAGCCCATTGAAGTTGGTGTGGGTGACAGTACTTACATGTAGCCTCCCCATCCAGAGGTATAACAGGGTTATTTGCTTGTTCAAGGATACTGTATTCTTGTTTGAACAGCCGACAAAGATGCTCCAGGATTGATGTCCGCAAACTTGATGCTTCAGTCGAAAGAAACCAATCACGACCAAACTGCAAATGAAGAAGACAAGCATCAATTAATAATCCATTGGAAGAGAGATTTGGTATGGACCCATAAATGAGGCTCAAGAAACTGTCTCTTTGCATTTTAATGAATACGTTGATAAAGATGAATTCAAAAGAGAAACAATCAGACATGAATTCCAAACAGTGCCAAAGAAAATCAATTGCCATACTCTTCACAAGTAAAACCGATCGCCATCAACTATTGACCCGATAAGACGTTACTGAAATGCGTCAATTTTTCATAATCGGATGGAAGATCCACCGCCTTTAAACAACCAGTTCAGTTTGCTGATGGGTTGATCATACAGGTTTGAGAGTAATTTTACCACACCAAGATTTTCCCAGTTTCCGTCCAAATCACGTGATTTCAAGGTCTTGGGAGCATATTCTACAAACTTTTGGATGTAATGAAGTAGAAAGAGGCCACAATCTGATTCATTATCTTGCAAGGGAACCTGATGCAAAAGAAGACGGAAAAAAAATATCATCTTGTACAGTAGTGATGACATATAAACAGCAGATCTGGTTTCATACAACAATCATCAATAAGAGCTGTAAAAAGCAAAAAGAGTCAACTAGATGCAGCTTGGTTTAGATCACCAGCTACAAACTATCTGGAGGAACCACTGTGCAAACTCTGATAGATGGTATCTGACTACTAACTATTAAATCCCAAGCTAACAAAATTTTGAAGGTTTGATAAAAGTGGCACTCTACTTATTTGCAGCATGGTTGTACAGGACTTACCGGGACCTTTTTACACATAATCTCGTCGGCCTTCAACCTCTGCACTGAGAGTGTGCATTCATCCGCCTCGTTTTCACATGTTTCGACACTATGCTTCCACTCTGCTACTATGTAACTGGCAGTCACAAATGAATCGAATAAACAATAACACAAAGTCAAGGTACACTAATCAGAACAAATCATCTAGAACTTGCTAGAAGTAAGGAGTTTAACCCAATACTCTTAAATAAATCATCTCATTCTCTGCTGATAGAGTATAATATCGTAGGGACTCGACTTTATAAGAGGGAATACAGGACTTAATATGATTTGCACAGAACACCTCACTACACGTCAAGTCTTCAATTTACTGACAAGCATTCTAATTTCGTGTGTATTGAAATTTTAAAAATCGATAAAAATATTTTTGTGGCTGACCTTCTCAACAACCGAAATACCCGTTGACTATCATGGCCATGGGTCATAGAGTCGAGATGGATGATACATCGCTCACTTTGACCCCCCTTATCAAAACCAGGAAAGCAGATGATTGCAAGACTCCAATGTAACCTGCAACCAGCAAACTTTGAGATACAGATGGTGACCAGACATTGTCAACGTAACCGGAGACATCTTTAAATTCCATTTCTTGCAGCACAGATACTCGTTATTACTTACTTGTCGTGAATTGGTACAAAAAGGTAGTCCTTTTCGAATATATTTGTCCCTTTTGTCCACTTCCGCAATTTGGAAAAGTAAGCTTCACCCTTCTTTTTCTGATCATGAAAAGCCACAATTCAAAAAAAGTTGAAGTGTGCTACACCTTCCTTACTAATCTCCATCACAAAAACTTTATTCAAACAATAAGTCACAAATAACCAGCTCAGCCTTCGAGGGTTGAACTCTGATGTGGCTATGAACAGTTGAAATTGAAATAAAGGAGGGTACTGCAATTTTTAAAGATTGTGCACACAGCAATTAAAAAATTGGAGAAACAGCACCCAGATTCTGCAAAACTAAAATACACCTGTGAATTAACAACTTCACTGAGTTTCTTATAAAAGAAGCTGTTAAAGAAGTGAAAACGTTGCCTTCCTTCCGCACCAAGAAATTCATCCCTTTGAATGTATCTGAACATAACACAAAACCTTATTTAAACATCGTATATCCGAGATACGAGCCAAGTACGCAACTGCTAATGACTACCACAACTTCAATAGACAAGGAATGTGACTTGGTCGTGAAACAGAAGCGATGATTTCCGTCTACTTTATGTTCCTGTGTTTTAGCCTTGTTTTGTTCTGTTTTTGATGGGGAGTGGACAGAGGGAAGTTAAGCACATACTAACATACTTGATGTAAAAATCAATAATAGTGTCGTTGAGGAACTCCAATGGTTCAAGCCTGGTCAGATCTGATGGTAAAATCTCCACTGCGTCTGGATCAGTCCTGCATTGTCACAGAGGTGATCAAGTTTGAGATATAATACTGAAAATCGTTAAGCTTCTTCACTCCAGTCTCCATCATATTTGTACAACTGCAGTCAGGGGCTTCTCAACCACTTAAATATCTAGAACAGGCTTCCGTACCTTGACGGATAAGCAATTTTCACTTTCAGCTTCTCCATCCTGAAAAGGCAACACCAACCAACTGATAATTACAATTCAGACTCAAAATACTCTAATAACGTATATTTCCAGTCATTGAAAAAAAAAGAAATTATAGAACTCATACACTGTTGCCTTCTCACTAACGTCATGTGGAAACTTAAATTGAGATGGACTTTGAAAGCAAATAAATAAACTGAGAAATTGACGGTACACAATGCAATCACTGTTAGTATTGGCTCAAAAACATAAAGGTTTTTTCCCAAACCGGACCGGAATTTTTTCTAAAATTACCTTCTTCTAAAAGTGTTTCGGAGCCCCGCGCGGCGAGAGACCTCAACACATGAACCATCGAAGGAAGATCTATTGCCTACAGAAGTCTTGTCTTCCTCATCGGAGGAATCAATTTCCATTGCTGTATCCTGAATTAAACAGAGATTAGAACTTGTATTCAAGCATCCTTCCTTAGTATTGAACCTTGAACGTCCAACGCTAAAAAAATAAGATAAGAAAATGAAAAGGCAGGAGGCCATTGTTTTGACACGCAGTCTTACAGGTGTTCTGCCAACAAATTCGGCCTCACGTGCTCGTTTCCTACTTCTCCCTATCGGTTCAGCAACAAGTCTCTGCGAATTGACGCAATAGAGAAAAATTGTTAGGAGTTGAAAGAAGACAACTAAGACTAGCAACTATCTAATATGAAGGTTAGGCATCGCAGAAAAATGAAAAAAAGAAGCAACAATAGTACATTTTTTTGACAAACTTGCAAGTGCAGACTATCAATTCGGCTATTTCAGCCACATTTGTAATCAAGAGGATCCCACAACAAAGGATCAAAAAGTAATAATCAGAACCACCAGAATGTCCCATAAGAGGAAGGGCTGTATGCAAAGCGTGTAGACAGGTGTAGATAAAAGCATATGAGTATAAGATGCAGCATACCTTCCGATCACTGTCTACTTGAAAAGAAGGATCAGGTGTCTTCGGCGTCAACAACTCTCGACTAGAAGGTCCTGATTGCTCCCCAGATAACACAAGGGTTGCTCCTTCCGAGGATGAGGCTTTCTCTTCTGGTGAAGGAGACCGCCTGATGATTACTATAGATTTACCGTTATTGTAGTCTACAGACTTGGAGGCTTCGCGAGATACAAAACCATTAGCAGAAATATCCGTTGATACATTCTCTACCTGAACATCCAGAGCTAGTTTTTATCAGATGTGTTACTCTGCAACGTAGCCATACCATTAAACTCAGCATCACTACAAGATTAGAATGGACATACAACAGGTCAATGAGGAAGTTTCAATCCTAAACAGACTCCTGCCGTGATCAGAAGCATTTGGTCAATTTTGCAACAGTTCATTTGCATTCTCCTAAAGTTAAGGAAGATAATTTAGGTGAAACAGCTCAACCAAAACAACGAACTAGCTCTGCAAATGCACCTCAAACTACCTTGATGGTAGAGCGAGTGTTCTGAGGTTTGGTTGAAACAGACTGTGCTGCCGACTTGGTTTCCCAACGCGTACCCCCATTCCCTACACACGCAGTTTCAACAATGTTCTCACGCTGCATGAGATTCGACACATACCCAAATATACACAACAACTGTGCAAAAACACAATAGTCACACCAGACTTCACACAATTGTCGTCAAGAGGATTCGAACTCAGCAACCTAAGTTGATAGAATTCACGCACTGTCGACACTAGAGCCACTAGAGAAAAAATCATGTAGAGTACCGTTTCCGAGATTGCTTAAGTACCCAATATCGCGTAGCTTTTGGGTACCAACCTAGAAAACATGATCAAAGGGGTGAGATATAATTCTCAATGCAGTAAGTTCACCGTGAAGGTATTGAGCGAAATCAAAAGGGAAAATCGACAGAAACCCTAACTCAAAGCTCTTTTGCTACAGAAACTTCAGGTTGCTGTGATGACACTTTTTTTAACCCAGTTTTATTACACATTCTGTGCAATTTTCTTTGTCCACTCTTCAACTTCCAGTCACGTCTGCCGGCAATGGATAAAGCAAATGATTTGCCTGTTAATTGGGTATTTTAGTGCTGAGCCGCAACTAAACTCCAGAATGATGAAGGGAACCCTGCAACACTAATCCGGAAGAGAGAAGCTCGACGGCAGAGACATACCGCTAACGCCCGCTTGAGTTTCCTAGCACGCTTGTGTTTCTCACTCCGCAAACTTTCCAAATGTTTTGTAAACTTGTTTCCTCCATCTGGTAAATTCAGAGCAGCTTTCCGTGTCCCAGCTACGTAGCCCTCATACTTCTCAATCTCATCATCAAGCTGTGTGTCAGAAAACTCCTTAAACTTCTGTGCCTTAGAGTCTGTAAAAAATTCAACCTCCACTCCATCTGAAACATCTTCCGAATCGTCCGAAATCACGGAGTGGTGGAGGCCTATCATCTCGCGAAATTAGCAAACACAAACCACCCAACTCGCCAATACGCAACAGGTGGGATATCGCAGGCGAGGTGTCTTCTCGTGGCCCAGTGCAAAACCATGAAATGCGAACATCTCCTCGACTAGATTCATCACAACCACAACCCTCCCATCTCAAAAAGCCACATCACACCCATCCACCGGTGAGGACCACCATCGCCTCAAGCTAACCTCACCGCTACAGACTCCATAACAAACTCTGAAAAAAACCAAAATGCTATCGCCCTTGAAGCACTAGCACATGAGCAAAAAGGTATGAACCATATAGACAGCAAACTCGTTTTCTAATACAATAACAGAACTGCACCAAAGCTAGCTTACAAACACTCTTCCTCCTCTCTTAACCTGAAGCACTACTGCCCTTTCACAGACCTCTGTCATGAGGTCTGCATTTAAAAACAAATTCGGGTCCTTGCCGACAGAACCGAGACCGCACTGCACCTAAAAATAATCCACAATTTTCCACAATCTTCGTCTCCCCTTTATGATGCGACACCCACGCTGCTCTCCATCAACAGCACGATCAACGCAAACAACAAAAATTCTCGCGTTACCGGTCGAAGATCCACGCCAGCAGTGCCCAGCTGGGCCCATGTTTTCCCCTCGAGGTCTAGGTCTCAGTGCCGCAGGCCTGCCGCGGGTTCTACTGAGTACGACGACCCGGTTCCGGGTATATGACGTCTTAACACGAAAAACGGTTGTCAATCAGAATACTCAGGGTGTCTCATAAGCGTTCCGGGTATTTGGGAGTCGTTCCTGGCCTTTGTTCCGGGTATCTGATGTGGCAGGCGTCTCGGGCCGTGGTAGAGGTCTATTGGATGGAGTTTTGTTGAGAAGAGGGGATGGATGAGATTCAAGTCCGTGGATGTAAATGAACCGTTGAGGATGAGGTCGTCAAGTTCTTTCACTATATTGTGTATTAGAATTGGGTGCCTTTGCTTTGGGAGTAATACTATTAAGTAAGTTGTTGGTTTATATTCATGTATAAAATACAATAAGAGTTATAATTTAAATAGGAACTTGTAAAATTGACCCACCCATCATTTTATACCCCCCCCCCTTCCTCCCCCATCACCCTTGGCATACATATGGATGGGTGGATGGATTAAATAATTCCCTTCAAATAATATTACCAAGATCATGCAAATGTGTTTCACTAGTACCCCAAAAGGAATAATTTAATAAGATACATTTGTGAGATATTATAATATATTGTAAATTGTGATTGTGAATGTTTGGTTTGTATGTCTTTAACAATTAAAATTAAATGGATCCAATCATCAAAAAAAATGAACAATTTTTTAATTGCCATTCACCTTTATGCAACCTTTCATTATTCTCAAGTAATTTTCACAACACAATGTAAAATAGCAACTCTCAATTTTGGCATATAATCTATGTTTTCTTCTAGATTATTTTCTTTTATATCTTCTTCTTGATTTGGCTTTTATTTTAATGATACGAAAAAATAGTTATTAAGATACAAATATAGGTCTAGATAGTGTGCAATGTAGGCACAAAAATTTTTGTAGTAAAAGAAGATTACCAAAGGTTATTAGACAATTTTAAAATATATGGTTTCTATTTTTAGTTAACAATTACTTAAATATTGAACATGCCACATGATATATCACTTGAAGTTGAAGCTAATTATCTCTTTAGAACTGAAGCATCTGATATTCTTGTGCAAAGATTTGATTATGTCTTTCAATTTTGTATATTTTAAGATAAAATTCTACCCTTCAATGATAAGGATCAACACATAAAAGACAGGTTATGCCACCATCAAACCATCACAAAGCAGCCTAATAACATTACTGATGCCGTTGAAAATTATTTTCAATTACAAAAAACAATGATTTTACAACTTATTAAATACTATAATCAATTGAAATGACTGATAATGAACTAGACATTTCAGGGACAAATAAGCATCTAATTAACACAATGAATTCAAAAGTATAACCATTAGAATTTTGTGGAAAAATATTCAAGAATAAAAAAATGAAATTTCTTAAGTATGGTGCCAAAACATCACAGATTTTTGTTGAGAATTTTGCAAAGAAAATAGCTTGGAATAATTCTAAAAACAAGTTTAAATCATCAAAAAATATTTCATTCAAAACTGTAGGTGGAAAGTTGCTAATTTCTTAAGGTGGCAATGATTCAGAGTAAATATTGACATGATTAATCTTATAGTGCCAAACCTCAAATGAGAGATGTTTTTATTTATGATACTTTTGAAAAAAATACAAAACATATTTTTTGTCAATAAATAGAAATAAACGACAGTAAAGGCATTCTTTTAATGGTTTAAAGTCTGGATGAGTAAATCACTACTTTGAAAAGTCAATAAGATCTTTGCAACAATTGAAAAATGCAGTTAATGTTTTTCTTTTCAATTATTTTTAATTCTTTTATTATGTGTGTTCTAGAAGTAAGAAAAAGAAAGAAGAAGGGGATGCTGTATCAAAGACTACTACGACAGTTATGCCTCTTTACCTTCATTTGGGTTGTACTTTTAAAAATACGAAATTTTAAGTGTAGAGAAATTATATTAGTTTGTAAATAATAATGTTATTTCACTTAGTTATAAAATTTCCTTTTTATTATGTTTAAAAATATATAATATTTTTAGTATATATGTAATATTAAATATATATATATATATTATTTGATTTTGATTTTTAAAACAAGCATGTTAAAAAATTAAAAGAATATGTCGTTAAATAGACATCCTAATGAAACACCAATAGTTTTCACATTAAGAACTCAAATATCAAATATCAACTGCATTGAAATATAATTATTACATAAATCACATCAACTACTATTCATCTCATTCCAATCATTGCTACCTCACTCCATCAAATCCCAAAGTCAATGTTACATTATTGGCAATAACTAATCACACAACTAATTTCCCTTTGTCACAATACATCCACTTCACACTCACAAACAATGTACACACGATTGAAGAACATCATTTTCATTCATGAATACAACTATTGTATTCTATCCCAACTTAACACCTCAGAACCCAAACTTCCTACAAACCCATGTAGACGGACCAAAAATAAAATAAAATAAAAAAAATTCACAAAACACAAAAACCCACATAACAAAACCATAAAAAGAAATTCCACAAACCAAATTCTCAATAACAATATTTAAAGTCCAAAAAAATTAAAAGCGTCCTTCTTTCGTAGTCAATAGTTGAGTAAAACTTAAGTTGTGTGGTTGAGGTTGTCTTGTTCTCTACACTTGAAGAATGCGTAATATTAACGCTTTCGTAGAAACAACGCCGAGCCATAGTGGCGCGAGCTCTCGCTCGTGCTGGGTGCGCGGCCGCCGCGAGGGATCAAATTCCGTCGCGAGCTGGGCTCCCCAGCGCGAGAGCCACATCGAGACATGCTTCGTGAGCTTCTCTAGGACGCCACTTCGAAAGCTCGGCTGGTGCAGGCGGTTGAAGAAGCACTGCACAGGGATGGAGGTGTCCTCGGGTTGCGTGTTTGAAAGGTCGCGAGTCCGGGGATGAGACTCACATGGTGGTGTGGAACGGCAGACGGGGTGAGAAGGGCGTTTCTTATCATCTCGGGGCTCTACCCAATTGCCCAGTTGTGCGATAAAAAGTTATAAATAGGGCCCGACTCCATCGCTCACTAACCTTTCCTCAGCTGCACATACCTGCCTCCAAGTTTGTGAAGTGTGATTCTGGCTGTGTCTGAGCGGCGGATGAACTCCTGAATCAAAGCGCTGCTGGGCCGCATCAGCTGCGCAGGTGCATGATGATTTCGTCTGCCGGTTTTCCTTTCGTCGACGAAGTGAACACTGGTTCGTCCATGTAACAAACATTTCTTGGTGACGGGGAGGGTTACCCGGGTGAGAGCCGGCTCCCGAATCTGGCATGGAAAGTCTCGACGACACGGGGTTGGCCAACTGGCTCGCCTCCGACCCCTGATAACAGGCATGGTTTACTAAATTGGGAACAATTTTCAAACTCTGGCCTCGCTCTGCGGTTGTCGATCGCGTCCCGTTGCACTTTAGCTGCTTTTATTGAATTTAATACGAGTTGAATACGAATTCGCTACAGCAAGTCGTCTCTTGCGTGGTGTTTGGGAATTGAGCCATCGCGACAATCCCTGATTCCGTCCTGGTTCCCGTTCTTGTTCAACGTCTAGTACACTGCAGGGCAACTGGACGAATGGACCCGATGGCGGGCGATAGTGCTAACTATGAGTGTGATGATGATGACGACTGTAGACTCGTTCCTGGATTTCCTGCCTCGGGTTTTCGCGCAGTGGGTGTCGTTGTGCACTGAGGTTGCATCGTGAGGTTTGAACTGTAGTGCCAAATTGCGGAATGATTGAGCTGTTTGGTGCGAAAATAGAGAGGAAAAGGTTCGGAGGAGGGAGAGAAGTTGTTGCTTACAGACGGCGTGCATGCATTAGTGGCGTGGTCTGTTGTTGTAAGATAAGTTTTAGCAGGTTTTGGTGGGATTGATAATAGGTTTCGTGGAGTTGGGGAAGCGCTGCGTGCATGGTTTGTGGCGTGTGTCAACGAAGGTGGGCGGGGCATGGTGTGACGAGATTTGAGTTTTGGTGGAGCGAGTGGGTGGGTTTGACGGCGTGGAGATGAAGGGTGATGCGTTTCGGAGCGCGCAGTGGCGGCAGGTAGAGGGGTTGGCCAGGTCGGCGGGGATTGGGGGAGATGGGCATGGAGGGGGAGGGGAAGAGGGAGGGGGAGGGGAAGAGGGAGGGGGAGGGGAAGAGGGAGGGGGAATGGCAGACCTGAGAACTTTGCTGTTGGGGCAGCAGCGGAAGCCGCAGAAGCTGCCGCTGGTGGATCACAAGGGGCGTTTGAATGTGGAGACGAGGGGGCTGCCGAAGACGTTTTTGTACTGGGGCGATTTGTTTCATACCTTGGTGAACATGCCAACGCCGCGGTTCGTCGGCATCCTGCTGCTTAATTATTTTTTCTTGTTTGTGGGTTTTGGGGTGCCCTATTATTACGACGCGTATAACAATAACTGCATTCCGGGGGTGTTCACTTTCGATCATGCGCTGTGGTTCAGCGTGCAGACGTCCATGACCATTGGGTATGGCGGGGATTTGACACCAGACCCCAGTTGCCGGCTCACGAACATAATGGTGGTAGTACAATCACTGGCGAGTTTGCTGGTGGCGTATTCGTTGTTGGGTGTGTTTTATGTAAGATTTTCGCGGCCTGCGCGGCGGGCGCAGACCATAATCTTTAGTCGATATTGCACAATGCACGAGGAAGACGGTGTGCCTGTGATTTCGCTCCGTATTGCTAATATTCGCAAGCACCAGATCATCGAAGCGAATGTGAGATTGTTGATTGGGTTTAATAATACGCTTGGGGGGAGTGATGACGAGACGGTGTTCCATTTTACGTCGTTGCCAGTGATCGGGGGTAACCAGGTGTTTTTGGGTTTGCCTTGCACGGTGAAGCATCCTATTACAAGCACAAGCCCGTTGTATGGAATGAGCATCACTGAGCTGGAGGACGCAGACTGTGAGCTTTTAGTTCTTTTGGAGGGCGTGGATGCGTCCACTTCGTGCAAGCTGCAAGCACGCCACTCTTATTTGCCCAAGGACATCCGGCAGGATGTAATGCACGAGACGATGGTGTTCAGGTCGCCCAACGGTCGGCGCTGCGTGGAATTTTCGAAGTTTGATACTTTGTTGCCGGTATCTTCTGCGTCACTCATCACGCGACTAGATTCCTCTGCACAATTGCCACCAATCTCGCAGGCTGCTAGGTATGCGTTTCTGGCGTCAACTGCTGCTGCCGCTGCCTCTCGTCGTGACGGTGACGGCGAAGCTGACAATTCCCGCATGTGGGACTACCTGCAATCGTCATCCTCAGACATCAGGCACAGTGGAGTAGTGACACATAGAGATCACAGTGAACGTAGAGACCACAGAGAGCGATTGCCTAGCCAGCCTCGACGACTCACGAGGACATTTTCTGGTAACACTTGGCTCGACCAGCCGAATTGGTATCCACAAAGCTCCAGCTTGCCTGCGGGGTTGGGCAGAGGCTATGGGGAGAATGACTTCTCAACGACGCCCTCAGAGGCATCGAGTGAGGTTGCAGAGCTTGAACAAAAGTTGGCGGCAGCTGAGTCTCAAATCCATGCGTTGAAGCAACAGCTCGTTGAATTGTCCACCCGGGTGCACCAAGCCCTGGAGCAACCCTCTACGGCTGCTGATGCAGACAAAGGGACGCTTGTTGCATTTGCCTCCCAAGCTCTTTCCATGGCCCTGTCCTCCAAGTAGAACACTTTCAGAGCTTTCAAAGAGAGTCTCATGCCTGGGGCAGCGCCAATTGAGCTGCAATAGCACGCGTTGTCGGAGCCTTACGACCTTATTGCTCCCGTCATAACGTGAGTTGCATAACTGCGCCCTTATTTGTCATGCATGCGAACGGCGAAGAACCTTTTTGTTTCTCTCCATCCTGGCTCAACAGTTGCCGTAGTGGTCGACCGGATGCGCACAGCCTCTCGAAGATCAGTATTGGGTCATTAGCCGAGGGCAATGTTTGCGAACAAGCTAGGTCTTCTCCCGGTGCTCACAACCTCGCTGATTCTAAATCTCTGAAAGTTCAATCCTGCAATGAACTCGTTCTTGTCACAGGTATGTGTAAAAGTGCTGAATTCAGAGACGTTCATCGTTATTCGTGAATCGGAGATACTTATTTGTTTGGAACAAACTTCTTTGCAGCTGCTGTTGCTGCCTGAATGACGAGCATAGAAGATTCATTCCAATTGTTCTTGGCCAGGAGCTTCCGGGAGTAACCCACATGCTGGGACCCGAATGCACATAAAATCACACACCATTGCTCCACAGGTATAGAAGCATGAATTGAAACTGATAGATACTGCCTTTACGTATGTACACGGATGACACTTGGGGTTAGTTTCAGCTGAAAGAATCCCTCCCTGAAGATGATGGGAATGATTCTTACTGTTTTGATACAGGGTCTGGCATGTCCCTAAAATTATTTGTTCACAATTTATGACTCCGATCTTTCTTTCCATGTGAATTATGGCCTGCTTTTGTGAGTTTTCTTGCATGTTGTTTGACATCTCTGGTAAATTGCCTTTGTCATGTGTAGGGGAGTTTCTCTCGCTCTCTCTCGCATGTAATCTTGGAACCTAGATTCTATTGGTATGCTTTCTCTCTTAATTTTTCTTGTGTCTGGAAGTCCATTTTACTGGACTGAAAGTAAACACTCTGTTGGAGACTGTAAATTTTGAGGTTGCTTCACACACTAACGCAACAGCTGCTATATAATCTTATTGTTCTGGCTTTTCCCACATAGCAAGGTTCTATGGACGTGCAAAGTCACGGCATCGCATGTGTCAAGATTGTACAATGTACGACCACTTTATTTATACAGGAATTGTTAACACTCTGGTTACAAATGTTTTGATCTGTAAGGGTTGAACCTTGATGGTTCAAACCAATTGGGTGCTCCCAACTTGTTACCCTAAGTAAGGGTTATATGTTAAGCATTAATGACATTAGAATAAACCTATAAGTGCTCGAAATAACCGTAACGTGTTTCACAAGTCGGCAAATTCATGATAAAGAATTGAGTCGGAGATGATGAATCTCAAACCAGCTGTGGCGGTTGTGAAGGTCAGGACGACTGCAATCACAATCATGCTCCAATGCCATAATAGTCGGCCCTTCCCGAATTCTTTGCCCTTAACCTGAAGATCCGAGTCAACACCAAAATCATGTACTAGCAATTGGCAGACTTCCCTCCGTCAGTTGATAGCTTTCAGTTGCAGCAACGAAAAGAGAGGAGATCGAGGCGACGAGTAAGAGACAAGGGGTGATGGTACCTTCAAATACATGTGGTGTATCAAGCCCCATTCAAGAGGGAACGCCACGAGTGCTCCAGTAAGAGCGATGAAGTCGCCAAAAAGGGGCAGCAAGGCCCCCAAGAAAGTGCTTATTCCAATGTATGCGGTGCGAGTGAAGAAGCGCACAAGCACGCTGTGACGCGACCACTCATGATCCCCCTTCCTTGCAAACTGCGTGTCCATGAACTCATAGATTGGACTGGCATAAACCTGGAATCAAACCAAATTACAATCAAGAAAAAAAAGAAAAAAGAACAAAGAACCTTACGCTGAGGTCAAGATCTAAAATAAGCTTGCAAGCACTGCAAGATCTACACTTATCTTGATAAATATACTGTGACTGAGAATTGGTCCGGACATCCACAAGTTTTCATGGCTACAGTACTTATTGAACTCCAGCGATAGTCAATCAAGGGGTCGACCTTAGCATTGTTCGTTTTCTTGTTCATTTGGGATTCAGGAGTTCACTCACATGAAGACTTATTATAGCTTGAAGGAAAGCGACTGCATTCGCGACAGTGACTGCAGTGGATCTGGGCCTGGACACGGAGCTGAACATGTACACCGAGACTGTGTTGCCATAAGCCCAGTACCCAACAAAAGTGAGCACAAGGATTGGGAAAGTGCCCACAGTGAACTGCAATCCCAAAGCTTTTCGTATGTTCCTCGTTGTTGGCTGCCGCACTGTTGCCTAGATTCAATTCGTAGACAGCAAGTGAAACCCATTCTTTAGCGCAACCTCATAGTATTCGATTCACATTACGAAAATAGTCACCACACAATCGAAACTGTCGGTAATGAATGAGAATGTTCCAGCTCTGCCATACACCTTCAGAAGATCTGATTGCTTCATGAATTCAGCAGTGAGTCATGGATCTCGGGGATTTCGGTGTACCCTACCTGCATCTCCGGAAGGATTCCAGTGTTGAATGCGAAGGCGATAGTTGCCAGCGCCCCGATTGCGTTGAAAGTCCTGTCAGTGACGTTCCCCCTCAGAGAGTAGTCTCGAGGACCTTCAGCCTTCAATCCTGTGACCACGGAGACACAAAGCAGAATCCTGTCAATGGTTTGAGGTGCGTGCATCGGAAGGAGGGGACGGAGAGAGAGCATTAGGACAGGCCGTGCTAGTGGGGAATCAACTGAAATGGGTTGAAAGGGATGAGTTGGGAGAGGGGTGTAGAATTGGGTACCATCCTTAAAGGCGACGACAATGGCTATGAACGTGTAGATGCTGCTCAAGAGCAAGGAGCAGGTGGAAAAGAACCGCAGCGCGTGCAAGGTTGGGACCATCAGCGCGAAAATGCAAACCACAGCGCCTGTGACTGCAATCCAACCTGGCAGCTTCACTATTTCCGAGCCGTCTGAGAATGCTCTGGCCATGCTCTGCACCGAGTCACAAAAAGTTGGCCATCCCCCCCCCCCCCCCCTCCTCTTCAGCAAATGGGTGCCAGTTGGGGTGATTGATTGCTAGAACTGTTTTTTTCAGACTTGCAAGGAATTCACACAGTTTTGATGCAGACTTCTACCTTCAGAGATAGCCCGGCCAGAATGATCGTTCCGATGTTGATGACGATGAGACACAAAAACTGCGCTACCCATGTAAGTTTGTACATGGTGGGCCCATAGATGTAGCCTGCGAGATCTCGGTATCGGACATGGCGCTTGCCGCCAGTCTCGTGCAGGCCACCTAACAGATAGTTGTTGTAGAATGAGATCACAGCGCCTCCGACTAGACAGATGGGTCCAGCAATCCAGCCCAGAATTCCCATAATCAGCGCCGGGTAACCAAGGATGAACGCTGTGTTTAGCGCAGCAATGATGTGGAATCCCACTTCGTACCAAGTGTCTGTTCACGCACAATTCGCAGCAACGTCAAACAGTTGCGGTATGCAGCAGGACCCACAGTTGAAGAAGTGCCAACATTTCTGAGCCAACGGAAAGCTGTAAGCGTGCTAGATACCAGTAATTGCAGCTCAAATTGTGAAGATTGACCTGCACCGGAGATTTACCTTCGCCCACGCGGTGAAATGTTTCTTTGGAGAGGGGTATTATGTCGCTACTGCGGGCAGCTTCCTGATCGTGAGCCGTCTCGGTTGAGGATGCGACCCGGAAAAAAGGTGGCTGCTCTGCGGTGGTTACCGCAACTTCATCTGCATCTGCCCCGGAGAACGCCATTGCCTCCAGTGACTGCACCCAAGGAGTTGGTCACCTGAAACTCTTGGTCGATGGCCGAGATTCGAGCTTAGTAATTGACAAGGGACCAGCCTTTTAGCATGACTGATTCATTTGTGCTGCGTGCAGAATTGACAATTTCAAGGACGGATTTTTCATACGATCTAGTGTGTGATTGTCCTGTGAACAAACGGCCATGGAATATACAAGAATCCCCAGCCGAGAGGAGTAATAGAAGATGATGATGAAGAAGATCCAAGAAGATCGAAGAAGAAGAAGAAGAAGAAGAAGTGGCTGTTAATGGAATTCCCACTCAACGCATTGCATGCGCTGCAAAGACCAACTGCATTCACTGGGCACGTATCAATCCAACTGGTTTTACAGAAAGTAGTGCTTTACAGTTCGGGAACTATCACAGTGATCAAGGGCACTTGTGGCCAATTAACGATGCGAAGTTCGATCACACCGTTATATCGCATCAACACCTATCACATCGTCCAGCTATCGAGAAGTCCCTGGCTATTTACAAATTCTATTCCACCACAGTCGAAAATGAACCTGCAGTGCCAACTTCCGAATTGAAGTTTGTTGACACTTATAACTCACCCCTCTCACACCCGAACGCACACACACACATACATGCAGAGTAACCAGAATCATCCTCAGCTTCGGATACCGCGAGAGTAATGCATGGTCTCGAAACCAGCGACAATTCAGTCAAGTTTTAGGCCAAGTACACTCAACCGAGTGCAATAACTAGTTCGTGAGGAATAGAAAAACACATACAACACTCGCCTCTCTCTCTCACTCTCTCTCACTCTGTCTCTTTCAAGCTCTCCCTCCTCCTCATGGGCTGGGTGCAGAGCTGCAGTCAAGACGATGCGCTGCGCCGAGAAGCTGGCCATCGTGGCAGAGAAGGCGAGGAGCTTTTATGGCAGAGCCTGGGGACCAGCGCCCGCGCTCCGCTGCTGCCAGACCCGCAACACAGGTCTTGCCACAATCGTCACACGAAACCCAACTTGCTGAACATCATCACGACATATTAAATAATAATAATAATAATAATAGTGATACAAAAACAAATCACTAAACTGTAAACAAAGAAATAAATTAAAAATTAAAAAAAACCATGCACAAAATACATAAAAACCTCAGAAATTAACACCCAGGATTCAGTAGACGTTAAACAAACGAACCACGATCTATTTGCCCTATTCTCACTCTCCGCTTCGTGACCAGTGCGTGAACTCACGCCCCCAATCAACCACCCTCAAAGTCCAACACCAAAGTCAAGCTTTTTCAGAACCCACAACTGCTCTTTTTTTTTGTAATTTTGTAATTTTTAGTTTTCTTTCCCACTTCAGGAAAACAAACGCAGTGCGTTAAAATCACAGATAACTTATCACGTGGCGTACAACCCCGACGCCCATTCATCATGCAAGCAAGCCCTGTCTCATGAGTAGAGTCGCAATTGTTGCAGGAAAAGGCGAAGACTCGCCCTCAACTCCGAGTTCAATTATATTTGCTCGGACCATAGCAAGCCAGTTGTTCAAGGGAATGGGGAGGGGCAGGGCAGGGACTCAATAATATTGGTTCTTCGTGCACGCAGCTGCTGCTTCAGTGCCAAGCATGTGATGGCTCTGCAAAACCCGCAGAGAGGGCCATGGTTTCACTCTGACAAACACTGACAATCCCACACACACACACACACCCACCTCAACAAACAAAAAGCCTTTAATTCCCCCTCCAGACTGGTCTTGCTTGCGGATGCCACAATCTTCTTTTGTGCCTTTGGGATGGATCTACTCGTGGATGGGAGGACTCAATCATTCACGCATCGGATTCAGCACCACCACCCCACTCGGCCACAAAATCATTCCCCCGTTGCATTCTCTACCTTCTCTTATTCTCTGATTTTTTATTCCTAATCTCTAGCTTTCTGCTTTGTACTTAGCTTGTACTGCCATTTAGAGCTTCAGGTCTCGATTGCCGTGAACTCAGATCCTTGGTTGGATGATGAGTGTTATAACTAAACCCACGGCTTCGCATCGATTGTTGCGCTCTCAGATTTTGCCTGCTGCTGGAGTTGCGGATGAAGTCTGCTTCACCCCATCTCCAGGCACACCTGGCTTTCTGTAACAAAGGTTTCGTCAAGGAATTTCATTTGCAGTGTTTTTAGTTTTATTGATTGATTGATTTATTTATTTATTTTTAGCTGCAGGTTTTGGAAGCTGTGAGAGCTTCCGGTGCTTTGAATCTGCATTGCCTCAGCCATAGTTTCACCTCATGTTCAATCTCTGGTCAAATTCCTTCCTCTTTCTGTTGCAGTTTTTTGTTTTTTATAAAAAAAAAATAATGAGTTTTTGGCTCAATCATACCGACTTCCATTTTTTAATGTTTATTTTGTTTATTTTTCAAAGTGGGTCTGACAGGGTTCTGGTTCTTCTTCATTCACTATTGCTTTCTTTAACTGGTGTCTTAACTGAGCTTGCCATGTGAATACCCCCCCCCCTCCCAATAATATTAATATTATTAAAGCGTGTAGTAATAGTTGTATTATAATGGAATGAAAAAGTACAACTGAGGGCGTTGAATCAGGCAAACTTTGTGGTTGGAATTTAGCAGAGGCGAGTGAGGCTGAGCTGGCAAAGTATAGCACCAAATGTTGGTTAGTGGGACAATGATTTTGGGTGATAACATTTAATGAGATCCACCAAGTTGACGTGTAAGAAGGAGGAAGGAAATGAAGGAAAAACTACTGATTTGTGTGTGCTAAGCAAAGTTCTTTTATTTCAAAATGAACATGATTTGTTCTACAACTCTAAATTGTAAACCTCAGACTCTGAATACTAAACTTTTTATCGAACCCTATAAATATTAAAGAGGATAAAGGAGGAAGTGAGAAAGGGTGAAAAGAAAACATGGAAGTGAGAGCATGTTAAATTATACAATTATTCATAAAACTTATAGGTATGTATTCATACGTTTTAAAAGTTTTATGTCAAATCATATAATTATTTCTTGCATTGAATAGTTGGTTTTGTGGATACTTAAGAAACAAAATTCCTGTTTGTTTTATTTGGAAAGAAAATGTCTCACTTTAATTCTTTATTGTAATTTCAAAGTTTCAGGATGCACAAAAAGATGTTTGCATTGACCTTCTCTCCATGTGATATTAATATGGGTCGATATCAATGCATATGTTTTTGACGATTGTAGAACGTTGTGACTGACAAATTCGTAGGAAATAAATTTATGGGATACAATTCTTTCAAGCTGGTTCTTTAACCAATTTTGAAATAGTTTTTCTAAGTTTTTAGAAGTAAACCCATATTTTAATTCCGCATTCATGCAAATAATCATGTAATTATCTTTATTATACTTAATTATCAACTCTTTTACTTTGAGATCGGTGTTTTGGCTTTTACTTAAGTAACCAGAAAAATCAGAAATGTTTGTTTGTAGGAAAGCTTCGACGTCAAATTTTGAATGCAGGAGGAGAAAAGGAAAACCTACCAGTGTTGGATTATATGACTGTGTTGCAGTTTACACTGATAAATGTTGGAAACATAAAAAAAATAAAAAAAATAAAAAAAATGATAAGTTAATTGTGGTAATTTTATAATGTTTATTCTAAGTTTATCATGTAAACTACTCTTCATTATAAAACTCATAGGTATGTATGTATGTATGTATGTTCTTATTCACATATCAAGCATGAATGTTTTTTTATTTTTTTACTTGCACATTGGCAGGTGTTTGATTTAGTTTTAGATTTTTTTATATATATATATATATATATTTTTATAGCAGATACAGAGATTGAAATGGAAAATACGAAAAAACAATGAATAATAAATTCTGAATTCTTCAACAATTGTAAAACAAATCATAGAAACAAGCTGTGACACAACTGAGACCATTAAAGTTTTTTAATTGCTGAAAAAAAATCAAAGAAAAATAAAAATGAAAATACCAGAAGTCAAAAATAAAAAAAGAATCAGATTAATGCCAAAAACTAGCAAAAAAAAAAAAAAAAATGGTGTTTCTTCACAGATGATTTCAGTATGATAAACAATGAATTAGATGTGATATTCTTATGTTTATAGATAATAAGGCGAAATAACTATATATACATTTATACATAAAAATATTATTATTTAACCTTGAAATAAATGTATAAATGATGCATTCAAATTTACGATTGTCCTTGCATTATATTAAAATTTGAAATTGAGTTTAAATTAAGATGATCTCTACATTTTTATTAGATCTAAATTGTTTAAAAAGAATATTAACATGATATTAAAAAAATACATGTGTGTGATTATAAACATTATATATATATATATATATATATATATATAAAAATGTAAAATGTAAAAAATATGCAAATTACCAAATATAGAATAATAATAGTGAGATTGATTTTTTTATGAACTTAGTAAAAGTTTAAAAGTAAAATTTGTTGCTTTTTAATATTTCTTTGTTTATGAGAAGTACTCAAGTATATGAATTTCACTATTGATTTGGTTGGTGGCGAAATTTTGATTTTGATAGCATCATAGAAGCAACAAAACTTTGTTTTTTAACTTTAAGAAATAGTTCTAAGGGCACTCATTAGAATTATTATATTTTTACAAACCATTTGAGAAAACCAAACACTTTTGTAATAAAAATAACCATTTTGAAGTGAAATTGGATGTTTGGTATATAATTACACTATTTCATCAAAATGCAAATTATCATTGAACTGTATACACAATGTTGGGCTGGAAATTGATCTTTTCAATGCAAAAAGGTGGTTCATCCTTCACAAGTCAAGTGTACAGAATAGTCGTTTTTTTATCTTTCTTTTTCCCAGAGAAGTGCATCTTAGAGGAATAAATTCAAGAGATTTTTAACATGACGAGATTTTAAAAGATGGTCAAAGGAAAAATGTACTAAAAGTAGAATATGAGAGCAAAAGCAGTTCGTGTATTACATTCACTCTAGTGCTGTGCAACATTGCTCCTTTTAAGAAAGAGCGGGTGTCGAAATATGAAGTGTTAATCGCGTGGCAAGTTCTTAGTAATTTTATTTCATACATGTCATTCATGCTGTAATAAGTAAATGAATGACACTCAGATAAAATACACTAAGAAGCTCGAAGCCAGAAACATAGTAGATACACGATCTTTCAAAGGCTTACAATGCCTAGTCGACCAAATCCCTATTCACATATGCCTAATCAGCAGGTTGATTAGGAATTCACAGTTTGTATTGCTGAAACAAACCGTGATTTGTGAAAACTAGGGTTCGATACTATACACCGACAAAGAGTTATGCAAAAACGGTTGATTGAAGAGAGTGAATACTCTTTGATCCACTCACAAGTCATTCAGAAACTATCTTTTTCCGTTGCCCTTCTACAACGACCGATTATAGATACAATAAAATGAGGAAGATGCAGAAAACTGCAGGACTTGCACGCTGATTATTCCACACCTACATAGACATCGGTACAGACAGAATGAAGACGAAGGAAAGATCACGGGAAGCTATCAAGGGCTCCGGTGAAGAAAAGTAGTATCTGTTTGATGACCCATTCGTAGTCAGTTTGCTGGGACAGAGTGGTGAGGCCATGCTCCACAAGCTGCTCGGGCACCCAGAGCTTCTCCCGATCGTATCCCAGCAGCTTCTCCAACACCTCTGGATTGTGTGAGTATTCAGGGTGCCTGAGACAAACCGCCAACGTTTTTGTCAGTCTGGATCCGCTCACTTGAAGAGGTGAACCAGAAGAACATCGCCCAAATGAGCTCCTAAATCAGCATCACTGAACCGCGTTCATTGGAAGTGTCTCCAGTGATGACAAGAGAATGGTGAGTTGAAGGCAAACAAACGTGTGCCCAGGGGCGTGAGAATGAAGACTTACCCACAGAATGTCAGGAATTGCTGTCGTTTGTACTGCAGTCAAGAAAGAGTACAAAACAATTAGTATGAGCTTTGGCTAACATCCTAATCAGCTTGTAGCTCTATCTGGTAAGAAAGTAGAGAGGAGATAACAGCAGCTGAGAAATTGGAGGTGAACCCCTAGTTTTCGAAGACGACAAATCATGTGAGGGAAATGGAACCCACAGTTGATTGAAACTCTGTTACGTTGTTGGTCGCCAAGTTCAGAAAACCCGGTGGCAGCGTCAAGATGGCGTCATTGTGGTGGTAATGTAGGCGAAATTCTTTGAAGGTGGGCAAGAAGACCCTGGCCCCTTCTTTTGTCACTTGAGCTTTTCTCACAGAAACCTCCGAACCCTACAAGAACACAAGCATGCGCGATCTCCATAAGGAGACCAGTACAAGAGCGAAAACGCGCGTTCCTGAAGTGCCATTCGCGCAAGCAAAATTCGACACCGTAGTGTTGCGGTGAACCAATCCGATCATGGCACAATGGACAATACCTTTGGATTCCGACCTACGTGACCACCCAGTGCCTCCGCAATAGCTTGGTGTCCAAAGCTTATCCCCACTGTCTTCACTTTCATATTGTCCAATTCACGGATTACCTGCGGCAAACGATCACGTCCAAGTCATCCAACGCTCAGCTCCCTCTTCAGCACATCATCACGCACAAATTCTCCCTCCCACCAACCATTCCATGCGACTCCACAGCATGGACGTTCCTCCCACTCAATGCTACAAATCCCAAGCAAGAAAGAGTAACTGAAGAGGTGTCTCACATTTAACAAGCGCTGAATCCAAGCATCACCGTCATACACTCCACTCAAGGACCCGGTGATCAAAACCCCGTCAAACGCCAAGAAATCTTCAGGATACTTTTCGGCCTTCACATCAAATGCTGCCACAAGCAATTCCAAGCACACAACCATTGGGTCCAAAGAAGAAAACTCCAGCTGAGTGGGATTCAACCGCACAACAGCCGCATATCCAAATTGCACCAACCAGCAGAAACACCATGATAAGAGCACCCACCTGTGAAGGAAAGCGTCGGCGGCACAGTCATCTGGGGATGCAGAACCCTAGCAGCATTCTTCAAAACTTGGTTGAAGGCAGTCTGCAGCAATTTCGAGTAGCCATCACTGTTCCCCCCCAGGTAATTCTGTAATTGGTCGCATTCCAGCACCGCGAGCCTCAAGGACCCTCTCCCCATTTCGTCCCCGCACACACACACAATTATGCGACAGAAGAGAGTTGGGATGCACGCTGCTTGGATATGTGAGGGGGGTGTATGAGAGGTGGGGATGGTGATGGGGGGGTTGAAATCCGGATGGCGTTGCGGTGCGTTGCGATGTGCTGCTGCCGCAGCTGCGTTGCTCTTCTCGTGGGCGGGCGGGGCCTGGCCACGGCACTGGCTGGGAGAAAGCCGAGCCATTCTCGACTGAATCCACTTGTTGGTCCCCTGGATCCTGTTGGGGGTATTGTGTGCCACGTGGCTTCTCAGGATTGGCGCGGATGTGTGCGTTAGATATTATTGTTGGGATCCAATAAAAGTTTCTTCATTGAACTTTGCACGATTGCAATGTTTATATTTGTATGTGTGTGTGTGTATGTATATATATATATATATATACATACATAACTATTATACAAAACAACTTGGCATGATTTATTGAAGTTATTATGATTCTCATGTTGTTATCATGATTTTTATATAACTATTGTATAAAAAAACTTGGCATGATTGTAATATTTATATTTGTATGTGTGTATATATATATATATATATATATACACACAAATATATATATAACTATTATTTCTTTATATAAAGCAACTTAAATATAAGATAAAGAGATAAAGATACATTTTCATTAGTTATTGAAAAGGGAACTTTGAGAACTTAAAAAAATGCAAACTAATTGGAGCTTCAATATCTCCAAGAATTTGGTTCCTGGAGTTGTTGGGATCCAATAATAGTTTCTTCATTGAAATAAGTTTTTGTAATACAAAATTTGAAGTTGCAAGTTCTAATAAGCTTAGTGATTAGTTTTAAACTTGCACTAAGAGTAGTAGCCTCAATCTTTTGTCTTACTAGGGTTCTCACAAATATAGATCCAACAATCTTTCTATTAAAAACTTTGTTCTTGAGCCTCAACTCCACATCTTCCTCCTATACTAAGCAATGCTTTATGATCTATTATTAATATATTTAATGGAATAAGAGATGGAATAAATAAGTCACTCAAGTTGCATTAGTTCAGCTCTTATGTGCCCTTTATCTTGAATTTTTTCCTATATTTAGCCAATTAATTGTACATGTTGGTTGCTTGCATCATTCAAAGAACGATGTTGTATTGCACTAAGTTCCTTTCATAAGGTAGTAAGTTGACAATTTTTTTGATGATGAAATAATTCATGTCCTAATCCACATGACATTGTGTAATCTTGTGTTGCTCTTAGGTATACTTATCTCTTTTGGAAGATACATCATGACCTAGGACTCTCTAATTGGAGACAAAAAATTGTGAACATAGGATGCTTCTTCAATTGGTGAATTCAATCAACTTCTAAATATATGGAAAAAATCCTTGGGAGAATTTTTGGCAATCGACTTGAATATTTGAGATGCAAATGTGAAACATGACCAGATTCTCTAAGGTCTAAAATCTTACAAAATCCATAACAACAAAGATCTCAACACAATGTAAGTCCAAGCACACCAAAACAAAATTAAAAGTAATTAAATAGAATGGAATATGAAAGACAAGATTGAAAAAAAAAATAATAGAAGTAAATAGAACCAAACAAAATAGAATAAGAAAACCAAACTTTATTGAGAAAAAAAGATTGAAGCCATACTTCACTAAATGCCCAAATGACCTCAACTAGTCCTATTTATACTTTGTCCAACTAGCTTAGAACTTTTTAGAATTTCTCTAATTGTGGGCTCTATCAAGATAACTGCCCTTCTAAAAGATTCTAGAGATGGACTCCAATTACATATCTCTATGTGCAAATAATACAAATATCTTATCCATACCCTATTACAACTAATCTCCTTCTACTAATGCGGAATGTCTTTGTTTCACTTCCAATAGTATTTCCAAATGGTTTTTTGAAAATGAGTGAGGTTTTGTATAGGTTCTCATGTTGCATTGTAGATAGGATAACCTTTCCAAAGAACTTTTTACTAAAGTTGCAGACATCTATTGCCATGGCAAAAGTAATGAAGCTCCAATATACTATCCACTTCATATTCTTATTGGTCATCAATCTCAACTAATGGTGGTGGTAGTGGTTGGTGTTGGTTGTGAATGTGCCTTAATTCAACATGAAACTCCTTGAGCTACAAAATATGGAAGATTGAATGAACTTGGATATATGGCTAAAATTCAACGCAATATGCAACATCAGAAATTACTACAAAAACACAAAAAGGTCCAAGCCATTGAGGCGCTAGCTTATAGATTTGGGTTGATGTAGCAAGTAAAAGGTTGGCATTAGAGAGTATTATCTAATCATTATTCTAAAAGGTCTTGTGATGCAAGTGGTTATCAATATATTGCTTTTGTCAATTTTGTAGAATAAGCAGATGGTGTCATGCCTCTTGCAAGGTTATTGTAAGCCATTGTATAAATTCTTCTAATATCAGATTGTTAGTATCAATGGGAGAATAGAAAGTTGCTGGTATAATCGGATGCCCACTGGTGTTAACGAAGAATAGTGAATGATTGGTACTTGATGAATACTATCATTATAAGCAAACTCTAAGGGCATCAAATATTTATTTCAATCATTATGGTGAATTGCTACAAATATTTGTAGCATATCCTTTAGGATCTAATTTGCATGCTCTATTTGTCTAACTATTTGAAGAAAAGGTCATACACATGGCAAGTTGTGTACCCAATAGTTTAAATAAGTCTTGCCAAAAATTCTTTGTAAAGTACGGATTTCAATATGAAATAATGACACGAGGTAATCCATGGTGATAAAAGACAATGTCAAAGAAGATTAGTATAAGTGCTGAGGCATCAATATCAAAGCGCATTGCAACAAAGTGGAGTTTTTTTAAGAGTTGGTTTACAAAGATAGCAACCTTAGTGTAATTATAAGGTGTCTATGCCAAACACCTAATAAGATCCATAGTCACATACTTCCAACATACCATAAGTAATGAAATTAGTTGCAATAGCCTAAGAGATGTTGCATTGCATCCTTTGGTATATTGGCATGATTCATAAGAATGCATAAAATCTTAAATATCATGATCCAAACCTCCCCAAAATCATGTCTTTGAGATCCGTTCTAGAATCTTCTTACGCCCTAGGTGTCTAAATATTTGGATGTCATCTCTCTCTTGAAACATGCACGTTTAAAGTATAGCATCATCAAGTACATAAACCCGCTTCTTGCAATAGAACAAGCCATCATTGATACAATAATCTTGATATCATATATTATCTATCTTTAGTCGATTGATAACCATCTTGAAATAAGCATTGCAACACATAGCTTCTTTCTATTTTACTCCTTTCATTAAGTCTTAAATAATACTACTAATGGTAGCAACCTTTGCCTTGTCATCTGATTTGTGTTTTAACTCGGGTCTACGTGATAAGGTGTTTGACACATTGTGTTGTTGCCCTTGCTCATATTCAAGTTAAATGTTAAAGAACTGCAATTGTTCTTTCCAACAATGATGTCCTGATTTCATATTTTTCAAATGCAAATTATATAGCAAGGGTTAGTTGTTAATTTGATCAGTCACTAGCTTCTCCTAACAAATAATGTCATCACAGCTTTGTAGTATGTACAATTGCGAGTTGCTATCAATCATGTGCACAATGATTATGCTTTGCTTCTCATGGATATACATACATATTCTAATAAATACCTATATAAATAGGTAGAAGTAGGTAAAAATAGATAAAAATATGTTAATTTTATAATACCTTCTAGAGAAGTTCTTAGAAGCTTCATAGATGTTGCTTTGACTTTATATGTATTTTTAGTTGATTGGTAGGTTAGAAACTTGGTCAACAAGTTAACCACATGTTAATAGCTTGTAGAACAAGCTAATTATGTGGCGCACATATAGAAAACTTGCCTTGCAAGTTAAGATACATGTCTTACAAAGTCAATATGTTTTAAAGGTCCTATAGGACATTGCCATATAATTTCTAATTAAGAGTATATATGGAGGCAAGAGTGAAACCTTCTTCACTCTTATCAATGCCTTTTTAGTCCTTAGTCTTATTTTTAGACTTTCTAGTCTTCTTATTTTTGACAATAGTCATTCTATTTCAATATTATATCATCTTTCAATGACTTTCTAATTCTTTTCAATGACACAATAATGTATTGGAAATTTCTTTCTTTCAGATTCATATCCTTAATAGTTTGATAAGAGTAATAACTTAATATTTTTGTCTTATTTTAGAAATGAGTAGATTATCTCACTTCTATTGTTGTATTTGAAAGTTGCAAACTAAGTACCTTTAAACAAATAATCTTGTTTTCTTTAAAGAAAGTGGATTATTCTTCTTTGTAGAAAATTTCATTTGATATTAGAGGTTGTAGATTATCCTCTTCTAATTTAATTTTTTGAACTTATTTGAGTTGTCTATTGAAAGAAATATTATGGATGCTACTCTCAGCAAAAGTAAGAATAGATTTGAAAATATTGTAGATCTTCATGAGCTTATTAACACTCTAAGTATAAAAATCTCATGTATTTCCAATATGAATTATAGAGATACTATTCCTACACCTATAGAAGAAGTTCAGAGTCTGCAACAAGAAGTTGTACAATTGAAGGAAGCAAGTAAATCAACTTCACAACCAAATCTAAAGAATTTTGCTTCTACAAGTATGACAAGGACAAGGATTAGTATGTTTGAGAAGTTTGATGGAACAAGTTTATAATTTTGAGGATTTTTGCAATAAGTCAAGATCTATCTAAGGTTGCACCCCTTCCAATATCCCAATGGATTTAGTCAAGTCGGTCTCATAGACGCACTTCTATCAAGAAGTGATCTCTCTTGGTTTGCACCTTAAATAGAAAAGAGTTTATAACTTCTTTATGATTTGAATTCATTCTTAGAAGTATTTACAACCACATTTGGAGAAAGTGATTGAGAAAGAATAGTAGAGACCAAGCTCTTATCTTTACGGAAAAGTTCATAGTCAACTACCATATATACTATTGAATTCCAAAACCTAGCTTGCGTTGAGGATTGAAATGACAAAGCCTTCATCAATTAATTTCAATATAGGTTGAAGGATAATATCAAAGATTTCTTATTAACTATGCCAAAGGTAGAATCTTCAAAACATTTTATTATTCAAGCCATTGCTTGTAATAAGTGATTATTTAAAGATATGAAAAACAAAGATTTGGATAGAGAGGAATAA